TTTTGTTCAATCCCTTGGCCGTTTTCTTGAAGTCTTACATTGGGATTTGATCATTGCTAGTGCAATCTCCTATGCTTGCTGCTATCTACTCCTTCCACTCGGATCCTAGTCAGTGGTCAACTAGGAGAAATGACGATGTATCATTATTATTGTCTCCATCAAGGCAATCCACTTTGCCCATGCATGCTATTTATTCTAGTAACGTAAATCATGAATTCGCTAATATATAGAATGGACCACCCGGCCAAGAAGGCTTCTGAACAAGTTTTGCTATACGTCAAGAGCAATATTGGATTCTCCTTTATGCAGATGATACATGTGATTATGATTCTAGATGATGGCAAGTGATCTCACGCCCTCATCAAACAAAATTCTTCATACATTTGGCCATGCTACTGGCATAATAACTAATATACTTGAAAGTACAATAACACCCGCATAGCTCAAGGAAGACGGGTTGTTTGGCCATGCTTCTTGCCTAGTAACTAATAGATTTGAAAGTTTAATAACACTCACAGAACACAACGAAGAGGAGTTGGAGGCAATCTCTAGCACACTCTCTTGTGAGATAAAGGATTCCCTTGAACCTATGTTGATGTTCCAATTAATATCAAGAATCCTACTAAAGCCGAATTGTACTCAATACTAAATTACTACTCTCTCCATCCCAAATTGTAAGATGTTTGACTTTTTTGGCCCCAAGTTTGACCACTCGTCTTATTCAAAAAATTTGTGCAAATATAGTCAAATTTAAGTTATTCTTGAAGAATTTTTATTAATAAACCAAACCACGATGAAAGAAATGATATTTTACACAAATTTTTGAATAAGACGAGTGGTCAAACTTGGTGTCAAAAAAGTCAAACGTCTTACAATTTGGGATGGATTGAGTAATTGACAAGGTGGTTGATGACCTCACATGTTGAAAAGCTTCTCTAATTAATGAGACTGCTTGTCTGCCTCGTCATAGTCTTCTTTTCTTAATGCAACGTTACACAACTCTTCTGCATGTCCAAGAGAAAAGAAAAGCTTCTTTAACTTTGTAGAAAAATGCACTAACATCTACAACGTCAGGTTAGTTTTATTAAATCAAACATTAAGTAAGTATTGGTATGCATCTAGCAAAATAGATGTACCAAAAAAGTCAAAGCGACTTATAATTTGGAACAGATGGAGTATTATATATACTCCCTCAGTTTCAGTTTCAAATTTTAAGGTGTTCTGGCTTTTCTTTTTCTACGCACCTAGATATACATTATGTCTATCTAGGAAAGTCAGAATGATTTATAATTTGGAATGGAGGGAGTACATATATGTCATTAGTAAAAATATTAGAAAAAATAGTTAGGTAGAAACTCAAACAACTTGGGCTCTACATATACAGTATGGTAGAAAAAAAATGCAAATACTCCCACGGTTTTTTTACATGTAGTATTAGCTTTGACAAGCAATTTTAAAAAAACTCTACATGTTAAATAATAACAAGATTTATGTTTTATATTCACTATGACAAATACGTTCATGATATATAATTTACATGTTGTGCAACTACATGAATTTCTCAAAATTAATGGATAAAGCACTAGTACAGAAACAAGTTGTACTCCCGGTTGGGAAACCCCTTCAGTCTCGGTTTCCCAACCGGGAGCACGAATCCGGGACTAAAGGACCCCTCCTTTAGTTCTGGTTTCTCGCCCGGGACTAAAGGTCACCTTTAGTCCCGGTTGGTAATACCAACCGGGGCTAAAGAGGCCTCCCGGCCTGGCCACGTGGGCCGGCCCTTTAGTCCCAGTTGGTATTATCAACCAGGACTAAAGATTTTCTTTTTTGTTATAAATGTTATAATATGATAGCTGTTGTTTGGTTTTTTTTGTTATAATATGGCTGCTGTTTGGTTTATTGTTATAAATGTTAGATAAAAAGTTGTTGTAGTTGTTTGGATTGCAGCCGCATGTTAGTCAAAATGCCCCGTATACATTCTCACTAGGAAATGTTTGAATAATCATCACAAGCACACGAGAAGCTTAATAATGTTTACTAAAACAGTAGCACTAGATCAATATACTATCAGCTTCTAGCTTTTACAAAATGAACAGCCAGCCACTACAAAATCAACAGCCGGCCTTCCATTCTTCATGACGAGACAGTCCTTGCCTTCCATTCTTCATGATCAGATAGTCAAAATAACACATGCAAATGTTCAAAAGAAAGATGAAATTAGTAATACAATAAACTAAAATAGCTTGGAATACAAATGTACTGTATGAGCTAATTTTGTCAACAACAAAAAAATTCTAACACCACATGCCAAATCTGAAGATTTCCTATATATTAGTTAACAAAAAAATTGTCTATTCAATAGCAATCTTGCCTAGATTAAAGAAACGAAGCACCTGCAGTGATTTGTCCATATATACTAAAGAAAGGAAGCACTAACTAGCAAGAACCAGATGGATTCACCGCATCTCTGCATGGATTTATTCTTACAAAAATCAATGGAAAGGGGAAAATGGAAATGCCTTCTCTGACGGCTACAGGGGTTGCTACGCCTGGACCTTCTTCCGCACAGACTGGATCTGCATGAATCACCACCACAAGATGGATGAATCTTCACCTGGCTGATTGATTTGCCTCGGTTGTGGCTTCCGATTCCACATCCACAAGATCACAGCTTCTACAAGACCAAAAGTATATTTTAGATCTACACAGATGGAGAAAACTAGAGATTAGCAGATGGTAACGAGAGAGAAGATGAGAAGCTGCACAAGTTCATCACCTGTGTGGACGGAGAAGACACCCATGCTCAGCGGGCAGGACGGTATATAGGAGGGGACATTTAGTCCCGGTTGGAGACAGCAACCGGGACTAAAGGTCCCTTTCTAGTCCCGGACGGAGCCTCCAGCCGGGAGTAGACTTTTACTCCCGGTTGGAGGGACCAACCGAGAGTAAAAGTTAACCTTTAGTCCCGGTTGGTAGCTCCAACCGGGACTAAAGGTCCCCTGCGGCAAAAGCCTGCCGCAGTAGCCGTTGGGCAGGGACCTCAACCGGGACTAAAGGTTTCTCTAGTCCCGGGCGCGAAAAATACCGGGACTAAAGCCAAATTTCGAAGTGAATCAAAAGTCGTTTCTCTACTAGTGAAGATAAAATATTTGACTTAAGACAAAGCTAATATGACATTAAAAAAGAAGAGAAGTGGTGCGATGGTGGTGCCAGGTGGGATGGGCGGATGGCGTAAGCGCCCAAGTTGCTGCTTACTTGCCCGAGATGGAGCTAGAGAGATGGTGAGATGGAGACGGCAGCAAAGAAGGCATGAGGAAAACAAGAATCCCTGCTTGTTGCAACTTTGCAGAAAGCATGCATGCATTGCGATCGTGGAGACCTTTGCTCATCAGTTGTCCAGTCCAGCTGAGTTGATTACCGGACAGACACACACACAGAGATGGATCGACAGATGATGATGCGTCCAGGGATGCATGGATGGACTGGACGGCCAACGCGCGCGACGCCGGCTTTTGGTAGCTGCGGTTAGAAATAAAAAAAAAACAGTTAATGCGACAATTAGCGAGGGCCGTCAATTGCCTTTGTTTGCGCTTTACACGCAGAAGAAAAGAAGAGAAACCGACGCTGCCTGCCGTGTCGAGACTGAAAGCCGTGTCTCCTTTGTCCGCAAGCACCCCGCCCGCTCTGTGTTGGTTTTGGTTCGTGGTGGCTGTGGCGCAGAACGGCAGAAACACCGCCGGTGCCTGCCTTGCCTGCCTTGTGTTTACTTTGCGCGGTTAAAAACTGAAAAGATGCCACTTTTGGGGCGACGAAAGGAGCTTTGGAATAGGCGGAGGCGGAGCGGACTGTGACCGGACTCTGTAGTCTGTAGTGGAGTCAGTGAGGAGTCAGCTTTTGTTTGGTCAGTTGCGGCAGCATGCCATTTCCCCATGGAAATCCTCTGATTCTTTCAGGTGCTGCCGCAGCCGCTGCATGTCCATGTCCATGTCACTCTCCCTGCCTGCAGTCCTGCACCACTGTGCCTGTACCTAAAACCTACGAACGAAGCAGCAGTAAAACTTGATCTGGATGACTGGCTCTGCCCACATGCACGTCCCTTTCATTTTAGGAGGAGGTCAAAATACTAGTAGTTGGAAGTGGCTGACTGGCGGTGGGCAACAGCAATAGAGCATGCATGTCAGTGACTCATGGTGCGTGGTCTGATGGTCCAGTCCAGTTCGCCATGCCAATCACCTGACCCTGATCGATGAGCATGCGCTGCCGCTACCTGCTACTGCTGCAGATGAGCGCCGGACGGACTTTGGTGATGGTGCCGGATCCAATCGAAAGCAGTTTTTTGGTTCATACTACATGTTAGCAGCGGTAGGGCAGTGTGAATCAGCATTGGGGCGAGTGGAAATGCACGAATCTCAAAGCACTTTTGGATGGTATAGATAGTGCATGTTCCGCATGTATATGCTGCAACACATTATTGGATCCAATCGATGGCAGTCATCAGAAGCGCGGTCAAGTCCTCATCCTCCTTACAGTGCCCCCCCCCCCACTCCTGCACTCCAGTGCAGCAAGTACACTGCTGCCCGAATCCGCATCGGGAGGAGCGGAGGGAGCGCCCGCCCGGGCCCACCCGTCACAGGCACCTCCTCCTCCTCCTCTGCTCGCTCGGCGTGGGATTTGCATTTGCTGGGCGCACCCGCACGCACCAGCAAATCCCTCCCAGCACACCACTCAAAGCCAAAGGAAGCCAAGGCGGCCAGCCAGACGCGAGCGGAACCCAAGACGAAAAGGAAGCCAGCGGAAGCAGCGAAAAGCCCACGCCACCTTCCAATCCCCCCCGCATTCGCTTCCCTTCCCCCACCCCTCGCCTCCGCGTCCGCGTCTCTTTCCCCCATCTCTCGCCGGCCGCCAGCCATTGCGCGCGGGGGCCCGAGTGCTACCAGCCCAGAGCAGCGGTGGCGGCGGCGCGTGGGGAGGGAGAGGCCGGTCCAGCGGCGGCGTCCGACATGATGCTGCGGCGCGTGGCGTCGGCGCCGGTGCCCGACTGGCTGGAGGCGCTGCTGGCCACGCGCTTCTTCCTCGCCTGCGCCGCGCACCCGGCGTCCCCGCGCAACGAGTGCAACATGTTCTGCCTCGACTGCAGGGGCCCGCCGCCGCCGGCCTTCTGCTACTACTGCCGCGCGCACCGACACTCGTCCCACCGCGTCATCCAGGTACCACCATACCTCGCTCTCCGCCTGGGTTCTTGCTCCGTCGTCGTCCGGGGCCGGCGTTTCTTTCTTCTTCCCCCCATCCCCTTCCTCGATCCTGTCGGCTGTTCGATTGGCAATGCGGCCGGCTGCGAGGACTAATCCGGCCATTACTTTGCAGATACGGCGGTCCTCCTACCACGACGTGGTCCGCGTGTCCGAGGTGGAGGACGTCCTGGACATCTCCGGCGTGCAGACCTACGTCATCAACAGCGCCAGGGTGCTCTTCCTCAACGAGCGGCCCCAGCCGCGCGGCGCCGGAGCCGCCGCGGGCAAGGCCGCCGCGTCCCCCTACAACTGCGAGATCTGCGGCCGCGCGCTGCTCGACCCCTTCCGCTTCTGCTCCCTCGGATGCAAGGTGCTGCTTTTCTTCTTCTCCTTCTTCCTCTTTCTTTCTTTCTTTCTTTCTTTCTTGCGGTTGCCGATTGTTTGTTTGTTTGTTCCGCCCACCAACCCACCCGCCCTCCCTCATTATTCATCCATCCATTCATTGAATTCCCCGGTATAATGCCCCGCAAGAACACCAAAAGATTGCGCCTTTCTTGACGCACCGACTATTCTTGCTTTCTTTCTTGCAAGAAAAAGAAAGAGAGAAAGAAAATGCCACGGGAGAACGAACGAATGGCAATGCCAAGGAATTGGCGTCCGTTGGGTTCTGTTCGGTCACGTTTAATTCGCCGCCCTGCCTTACACCTGACTTTGCATTGCTTTTAATTCGCGCAGTTGGTGGACACAAAGAGGAGCAACGGCCACGCGGCGGCGGACACCGACGGCGGCGGCGGCGCGGCCAATGGCAATCACGAGGAGGCGGAGGCCACCGGCGGGAGCAAGAACGGCCCGGGGGCGCGGCCGCAGGGACGGCGGCGGAAGGGGACCCCACACCGCGCGCCGTTCTGGTCCTGACCCACCGACCACCGGCCGGCAACAGCTAGCAACGGATGGATCAATGGCGTCCGGAAGAGAGTTACTCCACTAGCGAGCATCAAGGCAATTAATGGAGGAAGCGATAGGGGAATGGAGGGGACGATCGCCGTCTCTCCGCCTCGCCTTGCCCTGACCGCTCGCCCGGCTTCTTCATTCGGTTCGGCTGTACTTATATATACTTAGAAAAAGAAAACAAAGAAGAAGAAGATGATGAAAAAGATACTGCCCGCCCAACTAGAAAGGAAGGAAGGAAGATATTATATAGATAAATAGATAGAAAAGCTAGCAAGATGAGCTCGGCAGCCGCGTGCCCGCATCCCCAACCACCGGAGGGAGGGAGGGAGCCGGCCCGGGGCCGCGCGCTCGCTGGACTGCAATAAGCAACTTGTCTGTCCTCGTCTCCCTCTCTCTCTCTCTCTCTCTCTCTCTCTCTCTCTCTCTCTCTCTCTCTCTCTCTCTCTCTCTCCATACCATGCCATGGCACCATTTGGTACGTTAGGTGTGCATGACATGCCTGATCATCTCCTCTCCTCCTCCAAGTCATCAACTCATCATATTCGTAGATGATGATGCTGTTAAACTTGAATTAGCAGGAAATGGATTTAATTCTTTTTACATTGGATGGTTTTTACAGTGAGTAGTACTGATGATCTTCTTCTTTTTTCTACTACTACTACATTATAGTAATGTACTACTCCTGTTATTTGGTTTTCTCGGTGCACATTGCGTTGTCGATATATGTACAAAATTATGCCTCAAGCATTGTGGGTAGGAACTGAGAATGGAATTGAAAATGCTGAGAAAGCGAGGCCAGATATAGGTAGAGCCAGGCCAGAAGCCAGGGGTGTAGCAAGCAAGGAAGGAAGGGATTCCAAAGGAAAACGAATGATTGTCTTTTTGCTTGTCTGCTGCCTGCCCAGCTACTAGCTCTACTGGATTGGAAGGTGCATGGTTAGTTTCAGCCAATGTTTTAAATAGCAGGCTAAGCCTCTTAGCGGCAGCCTCTCCAAAAGGCTCCGAAAGGCTATAGCGAGCTAAATAGCGGGCTAAGCCATTTAGCGGCTGAGAAAAAAATATGTCAAACATCATGTAATTTTACACATAATAAAGATATAGAAGATGAAAACATTACAAATACCAATAGGGACAGATAGTTCAAAGTCTTACTAACACATTACATCAAAGTTCGTAGTTCATAAATGATACATCATACATCACATAGGGACATACGTGAGTTCAAAGTTTTGCAGCTTGCGCCCTCGCCGGTCTTGCAGCTTGCGCCCTCGCCGGTCACAGCAGCTCAATCGAGTTCCGGAGGAAATTGTGTCGAATGGCTAGGGTTATGCCTGGGACAGCTTCATATCCCAGCGATTTGGGCCTGTACGTTAATTGGGCCGATGGAAATGAAAGCCCAGGCCAAATAGCGGCGCTAAATGAACCACAATTTAGCAGAATTAGCGCGCTATTAGCAGCTAATAGCGGGAAAAATCGTTTAGCGTTAAAATCCTGGTAGCTTAGCGTTGGTCTTCCAGATCCGCTAAATAGCGCTATAGCGTCCGCTATAGCGCGCTATTTAAAACTTTGGTTTCAGCTTGCTAATTAGCTAATAAAGTAACAATGCTTGCTTAGCTTGCTAGGAGTATATATTGTTAGGTATTTACTTGCTACCTCCTTGCAAATAAAGCTTGTTTTCTAATTTGTTTACGCGACTAATTAACATATCTTACACTCTACCTGTCGTTGTTTTCGTCTGTTTCTCTTCTCTCTCATTTTGGAGCAAATATGATGTGCCTTTCTAGCTGGATGGGATGGAATGGAATATCCAGCCAAGAAATACATATAGTTAGGGCTAATATAAATATTGGGCCTGCATTATTGGGTATGCATAATGTGGGTAGTATCAAATTTGTCTGCTTGTTTTTCTGATGACTCAACCACATCCAATCAGGATCAGTTTTGGATTAATTACTGGCCAAATAGTACTGGCACTACCATACCAGCAGGCCTGCCGGCCGGCCGGCGACAGTTAGTTGCTTACATTAACATTTTAGGTGGATTAATTACGATTAGGATGTGTCCAGTTAAACTGACATGTCATATCATATTTGCACCTGTTATTAAACTAATGAGGTTGGTTGTTGAGCACGCATAATTTGGAGAAGATCATTAGACAGGCCAAGGAGTGATACTTATAGTAGTTGGGCTGGGTTAGCTGGGTTGGTGGGCCGGGCTTCTTGTTTGTCTCTCGCATCGCATGCATTAGGTGTTGCCAACCGTCGCCCGCCACCCTAACCTGGCGCCCCCACCACCTCCATGGCCCGGCCGCTAGTGGCCCCACTACCACCCGTGGCTAGTGGCCCATCCTTAATTCATTATTATGCAGGCCGGCAGCATTTGGACTAACAGTTGCCTTCCCTTTTATCATGATAAGGGCTGGCCCATTTGTAATTTGTATAGGTAAGTATCAGCAGCACACTCTCCATTGATGTCTTGACGATCAAGTCCATGCGAATTTGTCATCATCTATCTATGGCAGTACTAATTAGGAGTAAGTGCTGTGGTGTGGTCCCCAGGTCCAACGTGCAATAATGCACGCATGATGAATGAATTCAACATCACATGATGTGGATGTGAATGTGATTCCTCTTTTCTCAGCTCAGGCCCGCCGCTCGCATGGTCCAACCCATTTCAAAGTGGGTTTCGTATCTATTTTTAATCTTCTCCAACAACATGATCTATAAAAGAACATTTCTGTAAATAAGTCTTCAGGAGAGAGGATGCTCATATTTAGGTTGTGCTTTTACCGTAACCTAAAATATATCTCGCATATAGGTACTCTGTTGGAGAGGTGATAAAGTACCATTTGAGACCTATTTTGGATATGGGTGTCGATACGGCATCCATCGGAGACAGTCTTATAACAGATTCGTTGGATAAATAGCGTCCACGTGTTCAACCATTTTTTTTCCGTCACCAAAAAGAAAAAAAAAGAATAGTCATGTCTCATTTGCACTGTCTGTGCCATTCTTAAATCACTCGCGAGGTCGCCGCCCGTGACAAGACAAACTCTCGATCGGTTTTCTGCATTGCATGTCTGTCTGGACACTGGACTTTATATAATTGGTATTGAAAAATAAATAAATAAACGTAGTTTTGACCATGCATGCTGACTGTGCATGTACAGTTGACTCGCTCTGATTGTCAACCTTGCTTATGTCGGTACATTGCACCCAGCTTGTAGTTACCAATTCGAACGTTCGTGAACTTCACGAGATATGCTTTGATCCTCTCGGGCGGATGGTTTGCCGCCGTTGTGGTTCTTCGAGTTCTCTAGGTGGATGCTTTGCCACCTCGTCCTGGTTCACTCCGTAGGCAGCTTTTGCGTTGATGTATCTTCTCACATGTTTGGCTAGTAGGGTATTGGGGTTAGCCCTGGGCATTCGGTACTACCGAACCAAACCGAACCAAATCCTCGGTTCCTCGGTTCTTCGGTTCCTAGGAAAGTCGGTACCGATTCGGTTCTTCCAAAAAATCGGTACCGACGAAGTTTGGTTTCGGCTGGTTCGGTTTCGGTTCCGAACCGAACTAACCGAACAACTCCGGCTTCCAAAAAATCAGCGACTCGGGAGGGCGCGCCGGACTTTGGGCGGGGATGCGGCGCCGCGGGAGGTCGGCCATCGCAGGAGGCGCCGAGACTCCGGGTCTCCGGGAGGCGGGAGTTCGGTTCCTCAGGTAGTTCGGTTAACCGAGGGGAGGAACCGAATTAACCGAACAAATTTTGGTTCTTAGGAAATGGGAACCGAACAGGAAACCGAGATTTCAGTTCTCGGTAAATTCGGTTCGGTTCTCGGTTCTCGGTAAAATTTGCCCAAGGCTAATTGGGGTTGTGGGTTCTTCCCCTTCGTTGTTTTTTCTCTCTTTTTATGTGTCGGTAATCTTTGGATTACCTGAGTTAGTTGTAACTTATTCAACTCTACTTCTTTTTAATGAAATACGTGTCACAAGGACATGCTCGCGGACTTCACGAGATATGCATATATATATGTATGTATGTACACATCAGGTACGTCATGCTTGGTTTATATAGAACCTAGATAGCTAGATGCATGATAATGAATCAAATAATTATTGAGCAGGCGCTCCAGAATTATTATATGTACGTACATTTGTGGCGTTGATGGGTGCATCCGTCCTCATCATGTAAAATATATGCATGCACAAGGTTTGTCAACCCTAACATCACAAACGAAACTACACCGGGAAGAACTGTCCTGCCCGGAATTATATATATATATATATATATATATATATATTGCGATAGTCAAATGCTATCATAATTTAGCATTGACGTCAACGGATAATAATAATTGTCTATTTCTATCTTTTTTGTTGTGTTTCAAGATCGATTAGTCCAATGTTGCTGACCTAGCTAGCTAGCACTCGAGTCTAATTCCAATCTTTGTAAATATATATAATTCTAACGCGTCGGCTTCTGCTTGGTTCCTGACTTTGCTTTTTATTATAAGGTGATGATAGCATAGTAAAATTAGTTGGTGGAGTCTCAGAGAACACTTGGTGTTGTGATAAACTAGCGAGGTGACTCATACAAATATCACTACTATACATGTTACAATATAATATCTGTCTTTGGAGGTTGAAGTCCTTCCTCCGATCCATGGGCCCCCAAGATCTAGTAGGGACAATAGAGTTAGATCGAACCAAGTCCATATCTAGTTATACCAGGTCGAAGCATTTGTCAGCTTCAGCCATGTGACACAATTTTTAGGGTTGGATTCCTTGAAATTTTGTCACTTTCGCCACCGCATGATCTGGTACCTAGCACCGATCTATGAATGGTACAAGATGAACGAGGGACTTTGGAACATGAAAAACAAATATATGACTTAGGAGAACTCATCAGCACTGAGGACAATAGGGCCATAGGAAGTCTCCAATCTCTGCCTCCTCTCTTGCGATGAAAGTATGGATTCCTCTCTACGTAGATAACCTTATAGACTATTTGTTTATGAAGTGTAAATCATTAAGCTCACAGTACTCATAAGGTCCAAGCTACTAGTTCTCATTCCTCTCTTAACAGCGTGGCCAAAGACTACGAGCTAATAATACCAATCTACCCAGTATCCTATCCTTTCTGATGCTTGGCTCCAGAAAGGTCCTTAGCCTTCATTCCAAGTCCTTTATCGCATTGCATTCGAAACTGGGGGTTACATTATTCCACTTAAGCATTGTGACCTAACTTCCAAAATTTTCCTTCAAAATAGACATTAGTCGATTTAGTACGGCTGCCATTGATCGCATAAACTTACTAATGCTTACACAATGGTTGCCTTGAGCTGATGTATAGGCCCAAGAGGGGTGAGGGAGTTACACCTATAAGGGTGACTCACCTGTGTTGAGTCATCATCGACTTTCTGATCACGTGGCATCATCTCACTATACTTGTAGGGTCAGGGACTACATGGCTTGGTTGATTGGTCATGGTTGATTTAGATCAAATAGGGTTTGATATGGCAGTTGACCTCACTCAGTCTCCAACTGGCAGTTTTCTCGGTGAAACCACATATGAGGTAGAAATAGGGCTTGGCTTATAAGGGAAATGGGATCTTCTATCGTGATCAAGTCTTAAATGTAAGGCATCATCTAAAGGAAGGTGATTAAGGATAAAAAAAACTTTAGGCTATGATAGGATGATGCTAGGGACACCACACCAATGGCTCCAACATGGGAATATATAGGTGGCCACAGTGTCCCTAATGGTTTCTATACTGCTAGGTGTACTGGAGGCATCAACGGACAGTTAGTGGTGGTCAAATCAAGGGCAGTATTAGGTTACCAAGGTGCTCCCTAGGGACCGCTAAGTACAATGGTTATCTGCATTGTAAATTGTAGTATACCTTCATTCCTAGGGACATAATTGTACATCATGTGCTTGCACGTAATATAATTGCATGGCTCTAGCCTCCTGAGTGGAGCATGAGTCCCCGATTCTTGCACTCACATACATCTCACTCGGCCATGACTTGTTGCCTATCCCTAAGATATGAGTCTTCAGCTACAGAGGCTCTCCCCATACTTGTTGGGACGCCATTATTTGTACCAACATCCACTAAGATCGGTGTTGTGTGTTTTTTCTCCTTTTTCCATTGAGTAACATGGTAATTTCAATGAACATTAGGCTAATATGATGTTTTTTTTACAGTCAATAGTATTTAAGATAATTTGTAACATTTCCCCTTTTTATGGAAGGCAAAAGTCAAAGTACCATGGAATAGGTGCACACTCATTCTTCTTGTGCAACATAATAGATTTATCTATGTAATTCTTTGGCGTGATTTGATTTGGTTGAAATCGACCACCTTTTGTTTCCTACCTTTGACTTGTAAAGATATACCTTAATTTATGGAGTGGATGGCGATGCCCATGCACCATCCTTGATTATTGTTAATATTTTTTTGTGGGGTGGTGATGACGACGACCTAACTAGCAAGATATTGTGAGACTAAGATGTGATTGACTGATATATCAGGAACACACTCGAATCACTGGATTGTAAAGAGATCACAATACGAACTGAATAGTGAGATGTATATGTCAACAAATAAACAAAGTTGAACCTAAGTGTAGCTCGATCATTTGGTTAGATTACTTGTGGTGAACATGCTTATCTGGGTTCAGGTCTTAAGATTAGCACGAGTGCTCATATCTGTGTTCATAGGTGAGTTTGTGTACATGTACGTGTACGTGAGTATCTACATGGATACTGTGTTTCAAAAAAGCAAATAAATTAAGTTGAAATAGCTCTGTGTTAAAGAAAACAAACAAACAAAGTTGAGAAATGTATATATATATATGTATATGGGATGCATCTCAGCAAGCGAATGCATGCACTACATTTTCACAGCCATACACGTACGTGTACGTACATATATATGTATATGCTGGCACGTGCGTTATGCCTGTTGCATGCATGTATGTTGACATTTGATGTATATGTTTGGATGCGCATGTATTCATCTCAATCCACAACTAAATTCTACTTCAATCCACTTCAACACATATAGATTGAATTTGATACATATGCATCCGAACAAACCTTTATACGGAACACAATATTTCATCTCAATATATGTAGTATTGTACAATTGGGGGTACGTACGCGTGTTATACTCGATCTCAATCGTTGAACGTTGATCATGCATATATATGTAACTTATCTAGCCAAGAACCAACAATAATGCAAGTCAAACACACGCTGGAATACATCGATCATACGATGCAACCGATCGATGGAACGAAGACCGGTCAATGCTTAGCTTGTATGCATGCGTTGACCCTGAATACAATCAAGGGCAGAACTAATTAAACAAGTCTTCAGGCTTGTGTTTAGGCTTGTGCGTTGCATTGTGCGCTGAACTGATTAATTTTATTCTGTCAGATTAATAAGAGCAACGAGAAGTACTAGCCAGCTAGCTAGCCTAGAGGCATGCAGCAGCAGCAGGAGTCCGCAGCTTCCTTGACTGGAGGAAGGTCTTGTTCTTGCCGTCGGCGGACGCGAGGTAGGCGAGGAAGGTGGCGAAGTCGGTGTCCATGTACCGCCGCGGGTTGCCGGCCTGTTCGTCCACCAGCTCCGGCGCCGGTCCGATCACCCGCTCCGCCGGCAGGCTGTGGAACGACGCCACCGAGATGCGCGGCCGCGTCGAGTTCACGCGCACCCGGTGCAGCACGCTCTTGTAACGCCCGTTGCTGTAGATCTGCGTATATACAAGACATGGTGCAGGGTCAACACAACTTTTTGGCGTTTGACTAGCTCTTAATTAGTGGATTTGACTATGTCTATATATCGTCCTTTCTAGTATTCTATATATCCATCGCGGTTCAAAAGTCAAACCTGAAACAGCTTAGCCTTTTGTTCCTTTGTAAGGTCAATATCAGTTTCAAGGCCAAGGTGATTGGCTAGCTAAGCTTCAATGATCCATGCTGTCAGTGTCAACAGCAACTAGCGACAGATGCATGTTGATGCAGTTGCCGGTCATCATCGATCATGTCGTCATCGTGCACTACTGTCACAAAGCTAGCAAAACCGTACTAGCTTACATACCTCTAGGTGGTCGCCGACGTTGACGACGAACGATCCCGGGACGGGGTCGACGGTGAGCCAGCGGCCGTCGTGCATGACCTGGAGCCCCTCCACGTGGTCCTGCAGGACGAACGTGAAGAGGCCGTAGTCCGAGTGCGGCGGCATCCCCAGCGTGAGGTCCGGCTGCGGGCACGCCGGGTAGCAGTTCACCGTCGTCATGTGCGACGACGCCGCCGCCAGCTCCCCGAGCACGCCTCCGCCGCCGGTGGCGGTCTGCTGGGGGATGCCCAGGGCCTCCAGCGCCGCCGCCATGATCTCCATGAACAGCGCGTGGCTCGCCGTGGCGTACCTGGTGGCCACGTCCCTGAGGTCCGCCGGCTGCTGCGGCCAGTAGGGAGCCACCTCCCGCAGCGGCTGGCAGACGAGCTTGAGGAAGTCGCGCCAGTAGAGGACGGCGTCCTTGGCCTGGTTGAAGCTGGTGCCGTAGCGCACCGGCGCCCGCACGTCCGCCGACATGTGCCGCGCCCGCTCCGCCAGCGGCAGCTCGAAGAAGCGCCGCGCCATGTCCAGCATCCCGCCGCTCACGTCGCTCCCGAACCCGTGGTTCACCACCTGCGGTTGTTGCACGAGCAGGATGCATGTCAGCTGCTCTGCTGCTGGTGGTGGCCTGGTGGGTGGTCAATAGCGACGATATCCGGCTGCTGACGTCACGCGTGCACATGCAGACGTATGTCGTAGGAGTGGCTAGCTAGCTACCTCGGCCGACGGCAGACTGGTGACAGGTGATGTTACTGTGTGTACGTACGTACCTGGAAGAAGCCGTACTCGCTGCACGCGGCGTCGAGCGTGGCCAGTACGGCGGCGCGCTGGGAGGGGTCGCGGAGGCCGGCGAGGTCGACGACAGGGAGCTTGACCCTGCTGCCGCCGCCGCCGCCGCCGCCAACGCCAGCAGCTCCCTCAGCAGCGGTCGACGAGGCGGCAAGGACGTTGGCGCCCGGGCGGTCGGACGCGGGCAGGACGTACCTGTCGGGCAGCCTGGTAATGCCGCTGTCCGAGAGGTGCCTCACGCCTTTCATCAGGCAGGCGCCGTAGTCGGAGGACGACTCCAGCTGCTCGCTCCGCTTGCAGCTCATGCCCGTCGTGTTCGTGTCCCCGGCGGCCTCTTCCACCTCATGGCCGCCGTCGTCTTTCTTGGCTGCTGCTGCTGCTTGCTGCAGCTGGGCGTTGGCCAAGTCGACGATCGCCATTGGCGCCGCAACCAAGCTCATAGAGTTAGCTTATAAATTACAGGAGCTTGCACTACACACAACACTTAACACTTGGTGGTGAGTGTGTATAGGAGTAGTAGCCTAGCAAGCTATAGATAGCTAGTGTTGGAATCGTGAGCTGTGGAAGATCACAATTGGTGCGGTATGTAGTGCGGATGGCCAGAGATGGGCCGGAGCTGCGGCTATTTATAGGAGAAGGCGATGCCGATGCCCTCTGAAACCGGACATGGTTTGCCGTCAAGTCTGGGCTGAGGAGACAGCGGTTTTGGCACCAGGTCTCCGTGTCCTTTTGTTGTTTATTTATTTATTATACTTGTTATTATTATTACGTATATATATCATATATAATATATTCCTTCACCAGTTGACTAGTCAAATCGATCAATCCAACCCAACCCAACCACAGCCAGTCCTCTTCAATCCAACTGCAAACACAGGGCTACTGCACTAGCAACCTGCCACGTCAGACAGTTGCCTCCGCGGGGACACGTGGATACGTCTGCGTGCGCCTTGTGATGTCCTCACAAGTTATCTCCGTTGCTTTGGCGCGTGTTCAGTTTCACCCCAAAATCCAAAAAAGTGCTACAGTATCTATCACATCGAATATGTTTGCGGTCTATACATGGAGTATTAAATGTAGACGAAAAAAAAACTAATTACACAGTTTGGTGGGAAATTGCGAGACGAACGTTTTGAGCCTAATTAGTCCAGGTTTGAACACTAATTGTCAAATAAAAACGAACATGCTACAGTAGCCCCAAATTCTAAATTCATGAAACTAAACACGCGCTTGCTAATGATGTGATGTCCTCACAAGTGCAATAATATTGTCAACAGAGAGAACTGCTATATCTAGAAAATATTATAGGGATCAGAGGAGGAGACCTTGTGTATATATAAGAGCATCTATATATAGATAGATATTTTTATGAAGAAATATAAGGTGCTGCCAAAACTTACTCAATTATGTCATTACGTGGGAAACTATTTTGTCACAAGTATAGAGCGCGCAATAATGATATTTTTTTGTCCTGTGTGCGTACCAAAATTCATGATGCCAGTGATTGGACTAAAAGACCACTTCAGGGCTGTCAATGCTTAGTTTTTAGCTTTCCAACTTTTTTTCAAAAGAAATTTTAGGTATCCAATTTTGAAGTATAATATGGTTTATAATTAATTAAGGGTCTATTTGGGAGGACTTCTCCTCACAAAACTGCTCCGGCTAGCTTCTACGGAATATTGTGTACTGTAACAAGGAGCAGTTTTTCTTTCTCTTTGGAAAATAAACTAGGAGCCGATGAAGTCGCAATTTCAGACTTCACCAGCTCAGAGTCCTATGGAGGAGCCAGAACCCAAAAAAGCCTACCATACATGGCCTAATTAGATCTAACATTTTCCTAACAATAAAAGAATCATGTGTGAACACCCTAGTTTTTGTTACACCTTCATTGCTAAAGTTATTTCTTCTTCAAGAAACTAAATGGTATGCATGATGTAAATATAATTAATTCCAATATAAACTAACTATGAATAAGGTACAGATAAAAATTCAAGTATAGATGCTATTTTTCGAAACTGTCAGCAGGGAAATCTGCCCACCTTGTATTGATAAAGGAGAGGTTTTATTGAAAACAACATTTACAGACACTATAGAGGCTAGGCAAAGATAGAAAGACAATGATGAATTAATTCAAAGGCATGATCTCTCTCGAACATTCCACCCTTATCAGGAGATTATAAAACTCTTGAGTTTTTCACAAATCATATCATCAATTTCCTAAAGCACAAATTAAGGCACAGTAATTAAGGTGTTGGTGCCCTCTAAAACACTCAATTGAATTAACTTTTCGCTTGGTTTGACACGCCTAGTGTCTATATACACCAAAAGATTTTGTTCTATATATTGTTCAATAATGGTATTGATGAATGAAAAATACCAAGACCATAATTAAGGGTATATGTACATATAATTTGGCACAAATTTCTAACGGGCGACTAAGACACCAATAGCGCTACTTATCATTGCTACTATCTACTCCCTCCTATTGCAAATGTAGGTCATTTTAGACTTGCTATTATATGATGATTAAAAAGTACTCCCTCCGTACCAAATTATAATTCGTTTGATTTTTTTGATCTCAAGTTTAGCCACTCGTCTTATTCAAAAAATTTGTGCAAAAATTGTGGCTTATTTATTTGTAGGAATCATGGCATTTATTAAGCAAAGAAAAATAATGAAGAAAAATACAAAAAGTGCCTAGCTCAAACTTATAGAATGATGTAGACTTAGAGAGTACTCCATCCAAATTATTGTAAGTTGTTCTACTTTTGCTAAATACATAATAAAAACTACTCCCTCAATTTCAAATTTTAAGTTGTTCTAGCTTTTCTGGATACACATCTTTTGGTACGTAACATAATTTATATCTTGATGCGCATGCAGAAAAAGTTATGTATCTAGAAAATCTAGAACGACTTACAATTTGGACAGATGGAGTATGTATCTAGACATTGTGTATATCTAGATGCATAACAAAAACTATGCACCTGATGAAAAATGCAGAACGACTTATATAATTTAGAACGAAGAGAGTAATTAACAAGAGTGCTAGAAATTAATTGACCTACATACATTTAAACCAGAGGGGAGGCATCTTGCTCGGAGTACATATATCTGACTCCTAAAAGTACGTATAAGCAGAACGTGGGAGATGCCACATATCATGTGGCCGGAGGCTTAATAATTGGACATTTCTTGTTCAGCTGTATATGCATAGTTAAAAGGATATGGCGAATATTCAGAGGCGAAAACACCGGGGGACCATTATCTTTGTGCAAGCCCGTGCTCGTACTATCATATCGCTACTGTTGGCACCATCTTGACCAGCATGAGAGAGCATGGTGCGCGCACCCCCAAGATCGAGAGAGCTACGTACCATATATGATATGATCGATGAGCAAACTTGGATATAATAAAGCCATATCAACAGGCTGCAAGATCATCCACGTACGTCGTCTCCATCGTATACTACACGGGTCTAGATCGAGCTAGGTGAGATATATATAATACAAGAAGTGATCTGATCCTACATGTTATCATCAGGAGAAAAGAATGTCCATATGGATATGTATAAAGAGAGACTAGAGAGAGAGAGAGAGAGAAATAAGGAGCTAGAGTAGTGGCAGTGCAAATGCAGGAGAGACGTCGTCGTACGTTGTAGGCCAACTAGTAGAGACAAGAGACAAGAGACAAGAGACAAGAGACAAGTTGCTACTGATGCGCATTGTTGGGATTTGTATTCAGAAATGCTAACACACACCCGTGTGTTAATTTTCAGAGCCGGTGGCACACTATTTTTTTTATTGTGCCTCTGAGTATAGGGCCCACACCCGACTCCAACTGAAAACAGCGAACGCGAGGCGACGCTCCTTCCTTGCGCGACTCCGACGCGGCGGCGCATCTCTCTCTCTCTCCCCGATGCTCCTCTCTCTCTCCGACACTCCTCCCTCTCTCTCTCCCCAGCGCCGGCGAGCCCCACCCGTGCCCGCGTCCCCACCCCTGGCGCGAGCTCGCCGGCCATGGTGGATCCGGCGAGGTAGGTCTTCTCCTGGTTAGGGTTCCGGCGAGCCTCTCCCCCAACCTTTGTCCTTATCCTTCCATAGAAAAAAAATATTTCTTGTGATATGTGATTTGTGATATGTGATCTGTGCCAAGGAGTAACCAGGGGAGAGGAAGAACCTGGGGGAGGAGTGGCGTGCAAGGCTGGGGCTGGGTGAGTGGCGGGCGGAGAGTTGGGTGCGACCAGAGGTAAAAGAAGAGGTGGAAGCCGTTGGATCTTCATCGTATGGTCAAAAAAATCGTGTGCTAGAACAGGGTGAAACACCCGTGTTCCATGTATACAGACTCCATTTTGTATTTGTATTATAGTGTGTCTATATATATATCTTCTATAAAAGACTATAAACTTGTATTATAGTGTGTCTATATATATATATATATATATCTTCTATAAAACACTATAAATTTGAGGGTGTCCCATCGTGGTTACTGTTCATCCGACGTGCCCCGTGACTCAGCTCACTGTAGATGAACAATACCCGACAAGGAACAGTACCACCGTTTTTTTTTTCTCCTCACAGCGCTCACTGTTGCCCGCGCGAAGCGCGGGGTTACCTGCTAGTGTGTGTGTGTATATATATATATATATATATATGTGTGTGTGTGTGTTTGTTTTCGATGCTGTGGCACGTACACTGTATATGGAGTATATATATGAGATCTACTAGACACGAGAGAGGATTGCTGTACAATGAACACATATATGATCCGAGATACGAGCAGCTACCTGCCATGTATGCATGCATGTGTAACTACTAGGTAGCTAGCTAGCCACCTAGACCTAGGGGGTTCAATTATTGAGCATGCAAGCAAAGTCCCGGGCATCTGGGCAAGCTTCCTTGCTGCCTTGGCGTGCATTGCTTTACTCTGCGCTTCGGCGAGAGAGAATCCGAATACCTGCTTGATCTGCAGCTCGATCAAAACATGTCATGTGTGCGAGAAAGAATACTCCCTCCGTCCATAAATAACTATAGTCGTTGGTGTACGTGTTACACGTTTGATTCGATTTATAAAAAATACGTGTAATATTTGTATCTCTAAATAAATTTATTAAAAACTAGATTCAAAGATCTTTTCAATGATACCAATTATGAATCATAAATTTTAATATTTTTTATATATTTAGTCAAAGTTGTTTCTCAAGAGGCGAAAACAACGGATATATTTAGGGACGGAGGGATCATATATCTGCAGATCGTCGTCGATCGAGCTGCGATCGCAACATATTTACTCGCCGTCCCGTGTGTATATATTCCGATCCCGGTGGCGATTTGGTCGGGTCGTCCTGGGAATATTGCAGCATGCACGAGCGCGCGGCTACTCTACCAATTGGTTTACCTGGCGCCAGCCAGTGGCCGTGCGATTCTCCTGTATTTGGCGCCAGACAAAATTAAGAGGAATGAGCGAGGTGGCGATGCCTCTACTGGAAATATGCACATTGTTTCCGACGAACCCAGGATATATCTTCTTGGGCATCGATGTCAACTCATTCCTCGCTCATCATAATATAGGGGGTGTTTGGTTCCACCTCCTAAACTTTAGTCGTTGTTTCATCGGATGTTTGGACACATACATGGAGTATTAAATATAGACTAATTACGAAACTAAATAGATTGAGATTAATTTGCGAGACGGATTTCTTAAGCCTAATTAGTCCATGATTTGACAATGTGGTGTTACAGTAAACATGTGCTAATGACGGATTAATTAGGTTTAATAAATTCGTCTCGCGGATTACTGACGGATTCTGTAATTTATTTTTTTTATTACCTCTTAAGCTTTAATCCCTGCATCCAAACACCCCTTATCTCTAGCTTGGGTAGGGGGGCGGGAGCATTAACATGCGGTGGGTCATGCGATTGTGAATCGTGGCGTCCTTTCTCAGCTCTCTCTCTCTCTCTCTCTCTCTCTCTAGCGCATGCGATTGTGAATCGTGGCGTCCTTTCTCAGCTCTCTCTCTCTCTCTCTCTCTCTAGCGCGCGCTTCCACCATCGGTCACCCGATTCCTCCCCACCTCCCGCTATATGCTTATAGCTGCCTCAACCCTGTCCTCCCCTAATCATGGAGAATCCCCTACCATTCTGCACCACGACGCCCCTATCACCGGCCCCGCCCACCGCCCCTGCCACCCCTAGCTACGACGACAACCTTGCCACCATATCACACCGCCAAGCCGTGGGCCATCACTGTGTTGCGATTTTTCTACTCCTAAACCCCCTTCTAGGTCCGATCCGTCGATGATTGGAAACCCTAATCCCCATCCCTAAGCCCACTCAGGCACAGGCTGCACATTAAGCGGGAAGCTCGGTCGACCAGACGCTCATTAGAGTTTGCGATTGCATAATGTGTAGTATTGGTAAGTAGGGAACTCAAGTGATGACCACCCAAGAGAAAAATGGTAAATTGCATCGCTAAATGTTAACTTAGGGTTTTAATCCATTCATTACATATATAGTAAGTTGTTTTTGGCTTTTTTTAGGTACATAGATTTTGTCATATGTATATTAGAAATGCCAAAACAACTTCAATTTGAAACGAAGAGAGTATTTGATTTCTTACTAGATAAACTAAAGCAACTAATTGGCAAGATGTAGGCTTATGTTCATTTAGTATGCTCTACTTAACCAAACCCGTAAAGAGTTTCGTGACCTAGAGCTAACAGTACCAACAGTCTAATAAGCTATTTTTTGACGGCAAAAATTGTGGGGGGGAGTTCCCCACAGTGTGAGTAAATTATATTAACAAAAAGGAAAAGAGTTTACTTACAACAAAACATTAACTGAAAGCATCAAGCCAAAAGCAGGAGGATGACCTAAGGTCCTCCTTGAATCTAAGAGACTGTAACAAACATTGATTTTTGAAATTAGACAACCACATTGCTTTTCCATGGGCGGTTAAATGACCGACGCTACAAATGCTCTATCTTTACAGTCGATGGCATTGTAGCGGTTTTTCAAACCACCTCTGAAGATCAATTTTAACTGCCCCTAGAAAACTTTTCTATACTAGTGAAATATGATAAGTAATAAAGAGCTCTAGGGATGAAAGTGGATAGGATTGGAGTGGATAATGCCTTCTTCATATCTTAATCCATTACCTTTTGTCAGATTCGTAGCGCAATGGATCATAAATGGTATAGAGTTGGGTGGAGCAATAGCTTCGGGAATTCAAAGAAAAATTAAAACGCACACATGAACAATATATAATATGTGTTCATGGTTGCTGATTTAAAATTTTCCCTGCACCCAAAAAGATTTTTAAGTGTAAAGATTATATTGCTTATAAACATAGTACAGAGATGGGGTCGAAAATCACTCCATTCAAGGTTTTGGAGTACCTGCTGCACATCATTACATTGGAGAGAATGAGCTAGTGCTTCACAGAGTAAAGACAAGACCATAGAGTTAACTTGTCAAGCCTGTTTAGCAAGTTTATTAGCCACTTTATTCATCCCCCTTTTGATCTTGCTTTTCGTATCCACCTTGTTACCTCTATTTTCTTCTACCAGCAAAGTGTCATAATGTGTGAATCTTAATCCAAAACACAGACAACATTGACTTTATTCTTATATTAGTAGAGTATTTACAAAATAATAAAGAATAGAGAATATCATGGCCTTTTTTAGATATATATAAGTATATACTCCATCAGTTCCAAACTATAGATCACTTCGATTTTGTCTCAAGCAAAATTGTACTGATTTTGAACCTAATTTTATAAAAAAATATACTCTCTCCATATTGATAATTCAAGTCGTTTTGGACAGTGTCACGGTCTCCAAAGCATAACTTTGACTTCTTATTTCTATAAAAAATATTTATTGGAAAGCGATATATGTATATTTTTATGAAAGCACTTTTCAAGACAAATCTATTCATATGGTTTTCATATTTCCAAACTCAACAACTTAAAAGTTATTCATGATTTATATTCCCAATGTTTGACCCAAGCCTTCCCAAAATGACTTAAATTACCAGTACGGAGGGAGTATTATCCTCTACAAGTTCAAATAATGCATTATCAAGACATACTTTATAGAGAATTTAATGAAAATAGCTATTTTGATGTTGTAAATGTTTTTATAATCTTGATTAAAGGTAGATAAGCTTGACTTAGAACAAATTTAAAGTGGACTATAATTTAAAACATAAAAGAAGTGTGGTACCATTTTATATTTTGAAAACCACAACCGAGGAGAACATGTGTTCACTACGTCAAATATGATTTTTAGGGGCGGCTAATGAGCATTTGAAGGGGCGGTTCGGTCAGCCGCCCCTACCATACCGTCTCTACAATTATGCATTTGTAGGGGCGGTTCCCAGATCGTCCCTACAAATCTATTTGTAGGGGCGGCTGGTGTTATCAGCCGCCCCTACAAATTGATTTGTAGGGGCTAAAAAATCGATTTGTAGGGGCGGCTACAGTGCATTTTCTACAAAAAAAAATCAAATTATCCAACACGTGCCCCCCCAAATCATCCTGTGCGTTGCAACGGAAGAAAAATAAATCAATTTAGCTGAGAAATAAGGTGATGAGGACCATCAGTTGTAGTAGTCTTCAATCGGAATGCCAAACACAATTGATAAGGGGCTAAGTGCAACTCCATGTCTCCATCAACCTTAATCAGAGCTCAAATGATACAACTGCCAATATTCCAAATAAGGAAACAACTGAGGATCTAATAACCACCATCAAACTCCGGTGATACAAGCTAATAATTGGAATCCCCAGACTTCTTACACTACTCAATTCATCATTCTAGGGAAACATCAGTGCCTTCTCCTGGGTGAGGTTCTTGAACAGGCTCTCGGCGGTGATATGATAGAAACACAAAAGTACCAAATAAAATCAATAATATTTTATTTAGTTAGTGGCTGAGCAACAAGCCTAGCACCATCAACAAAGAAGTGAGAGAGGAAAGACTAACAGTAGACCCCTTGTATCTTATAATCAAAAGGAACATGGGGCATCTATAAAGAGATTGTATTGATGAAGCCAAATAATCAGCCTAATCTGATGATCTTTTTGTTGTCGCTGCAAAGCTCAAGATAACTAGGAAGTAGCAGTTCCAATCAGGACCAATACTCTACCTTAGAACCATAAGAGAACAGACCTGGAAGTAGCAGTTCTGATCCGGGCCAATATTACTCTACCTTAGAACCATAAGAAAACAGATGGAGCTAACATGGCTCTTCTGGAAATGCTAGGCATTGGTAAGGGAACACATGAAGAGAAAAAAAATGTCTCAGGAAAGCATACTCAAAAGAATCTACTCACCAATGACCACATGAACTGGAATCTCTAAGAACTAAGCAAGTAAGCTACTTTACCATAGATTCTAGAAAGTCAGAAGCATGATACCTTTTGATACTGGATGGATGTGGTCTAGTGCCGATTTCCACAAGAGCAAAAAATGAAAAGATAGAAATGCTCATCGCCAAGTAACTGGTGTGATTAGCTTGGACAATTTCTAAAACCTCCTACATCCACAATCAGAAGCAAATGGAAACCTTTCTTCATATTTAAACACCAACTAAAAATCATTACAAAAGCCAATAGCAAAGAGGTAACAATCAGAAGCAAAAGCCCAAAAGCTGCAGCTCAAACAAATATAGAAATAGAGGACAAACTTTCTATTAAAAACTCTGCCCAATCCCACCAGTGGCTACCCCACAAACAAGTGAATCAAACATTCCAGGAAGCCAGCAGCAGCTGGTTACCATAGCTATGCTACAACATATGTCAAAATGGTTGGTACCAAACATACAGTAACAAAAATAATTCCAAAGGTAATCACAAATATGGTATGAGAACAAGATGACAGCAAGCATTGTATGGGGCATCAAGCAGATTCCCCACTAGTCATTGGGCTTCTCCCATTGAAAAAGAAGCTCTTGTTGAACCCAATTTGGCGAATCGATACTTTATTGCACCAAATAATCTGGTCACGACCAACCAAGTTGAACTCCTAGGGATAACCTTGCTAATATTAACCGATTGAGGTGATGCATGCCCCTAAGTATAACTTTGGTAATATTGATAACCTTCTTAATACTAACCAACCGAGGTGATGATGCCCTAAGTATCAAAATGAACAATTTTAATGAGCATTCACTTTAAATGCCATGACCTTGCGAGAGTAAAGAGACTACGACCAAATGCAAAAGTAGCATCTGCAGCCAATAGGCAGATTATAGCATGGGCAAAAATACTATGACATTCCTCAAACAACTTCATATTTAAAACATCATTTTGATTCCTCAAAAATATAACTATACTATCCATCTTTGGGCAAACATGAACCAATAGGGGACTGCATTAAAGTCTTGATCTTTGAGTAGCATGTTAAAATGTATTTACAATAATAAGAAAAGTTGCATAAGTGCACCATACTTCCAACCGATAAGTGTCAAACAAAGCATCTTGTAGACTTATGACATCACAAAGCAGTCATAATTATGACTTAGGAAGCATTGCCATAGTTGCCTTATTCTCATGAATCTAGGGCAAAAGTTGGCATTGTAATAACAGATGGCTAATCAAATCAAGCTTAGTAACTCTTAATCTCCTAAGATATTTTCATAAGGAGACATTCAAGCAATACCACTCAATTTTTTAGATGGCATAAACTTCTTGAGCAGAAATGAACCTTAAAACGCAGATTCTACAGAAAGACTTTAAGCTCTTCAACATTTTCTAGACAGATGACAGATTATGAACTAAGCAAATAGTATGACCCAATAATCTAGCCATTCCATTTCTCCAGGTTTCCATAACCCAGAAACTAGTAGTAAGACCATCGCTCACTTGACAAAAAAGGATATACTAGCACTCATAAGCATTCTCTTGCCCAAGCTTTAGTAATCAACATGAAAACACAATAAACGGAACTCAAGAATCTGTAATAACACTTACATTACGCATCGCCGATTCTGTGAATCCCGTTAAATGATAGCTCCCCCTTCTTCGCTCATGAGATGAGATTTCCTTACCCAGCTTACTCACATCACCATTCTTCCCAATCGCATCGACATCCTCAAACCTCCGCGCCCACCTAGGCCTCTCCTCCTTGGGCGGAGGTGGATCTACGGATGCCCTGACCCGCTTTCCCCCTTCGCGGCCGGGCTCGTCCCTGTCGCCACCGCCCTCGTGGCCCTTCCGCTTCCGCGACGACGACCGCGGCTCGTGGTCGGTGGAGTCGCGGCGCTCGACGGACTCCTGTGGGCGGCTAGACGAGCGGTCCCGCTTCGACGAGGGTGGCGGGGACTCGGACAGGGAAACGGACCGTCGGTTCCCGCGGTGGTGGTCGTCGTCCCCACCGTCGCGGTAGCGGTGGCTACGGCTGTCGTCTTTGTCGTGATGGTGACGCTGGTGGCGGTCATCCTCACCTCCTCCGCCCCTGTCCTTGTCGCGGTGGTGGCGGCGGTGGCGGTCCTCGTCCCCGCCGTCGCGCCAGTGGTGAGCGTCGGTGTCGTGGCGACTGCGGCGGCGGTGTCGGTCGTCATCCCGGTCGCGGGATCGGTGGTGCCCGTCGTCGTCGCGAGTGCGGCACGAAGAGCGGTCGCGATCCATGGGTGGGGATTAGCAAGGAGAGGGGTTAGGGTTTGAGTCGATTCGCCAACGAGGGAGGGAGGGCTAAGAGGAGAAAGAGACGAAGGATCTGCGGTCGGCGTCGCGTGCGGGTTCCGAGTATTTATTTGTTGGAGCATTTGTAGGGGCGTCTGGTTATTGAGCCGCCCCTATAAATAGGAATACTGAGGGCGGCTGGTGAGTGAGCCGCCCCTACAAATCCGACCTCTTTGTAGGGCGGCTCGTATCACCAGCCGCCCCTGTTGTTCTATTTGTAGGGGCGGCTGGTCTCTGGGCTTCCAAGAACGCCACTGTAGGGGCGGCTCCATCACCAGCCGCCCCTAAAAAAATTTTATCCCGTTGCTACAAACCGTTTTTCACGTAGTGGTTGTAAGTGCAGTGGTCTTTCTTTTCAAGTCGACAACGTGCAAAGCACATTTTTAAGAAGTGGTCTTTCAATCGTGGCCATTATTTCCCATGACACATGCATATACTCTATGATAACAAGATCTTTGTTTTGATTGTGTTCTTGTTGTGAAGATGGTCTATGTGTATATATGTGCCTGTCTCTCTGTTACACACACATGGAAGGAGGGGAAAAGGCGCATCATTGAGTTAGTATAATATAATCTAACGGCATATTTGACTGATCTCCATCGACCTTGGCCAAACGCGACAAGTGTCCCTAAGACAGATTCCAAAGCTGTGCAGCTACGTAGCTAGTGTACGGCGGAAAAGCCCTTTGATGCTACCGTGTCCGACAAAATAAAGCTATATATACCTGTGTGTGGTGGCCGTGCGATGACTTTGCGATCGAAGAATATGAAGCATCATGTCAGTGTATACACGCATCCACATATACATATATATCTGCTCATGGAACAATCCCAAGTACTACTGGCTAGACGCGAGCATGCTTTTCTATTTTAAGTTGTCGGCCTTCTAATCTAGTCTTGAATGCATGCTTTCGGTGACGACCGACTTTTACATGTAGAAAAAAAACAATTAATTTTCATTGTGGCCAGCAGAGATACTAAGAGCATATGTAGGGATATAAATATTGATCATATATACCTCTATATATAAAACTTGTATATTTCATCAATATATGGTACTCCCTCTATTTCAAATTTTATAAGACGTTTCGGCTTTTCTAGATGTATTACTTTTGCTATACATCTAGATCGACATACTATATATCTAAGTGCATAGTAAAAACTATGTATCTAGAAAAGACCAAAACATCTTATAATTTGGAACAGAGGAAGTACTCACTAGTATAAAATCTATATATACATCCAGGTCTAAACCCCATTTACAGTCGGGCCTTGAAGTGTAAGCAATGGGGTTTAGAAGAGGAGTAGCCTTTAGATCTTTGAAAGGATATTATGAATATAACACAAGCTTACACCTTATCAAAATGACGTAGACGAATCTCATATAAAACCCTAGATTACAATGTCGAAGCAACCACAAACAAGAGCTTATTAGGACTTTGGTGATGAATCCTACCCGCATCTATAAACATAGCTCTATAAGAGTACAAGTGATTGTTGCTCTCTCACAACCATACTTAACCCTCTAGAACCCTCTGATTCTTGCCCTATATAACAATCTAGTCCGATCCAATAGACGTGTGTCTAGCCAAATTCTTTTGAACAATCCTAATTGACCCTTATAAGCCTTGGATGAGACTTTTGTGTTGGCTTGGTTGATTCATATCACCTCCACCCTTTGTTTATATAGTCCCTAAAAGGATCAAGATGCCCAAGAGGAGGAGGCGTGGTGAATTGGGCTAATCTAAAATTCTCGCGAAATTAAAACCTATCACTTAACCCATGCCACCTCTTGTGCCTAGTTTGTGTTTCTAACCTACGCACAAAAGTTTTGCACCCTAGTTTCAGCCCTAAGACATGGCAATTCTAGGAATGTAAAGATAGGTAAGTAATTGCACAAAAGTAAATGCTCAAAGCAAAGAGATGGGTTAGGAACACGACGATGTTTTTTCGAGGTATCAGAGAGTCGCTAGTCCTCGTTGGAGTACCCACGCAAGGATGTAGCTCCCCCTTGATCCACGCAAGAACCAAGTACCTCTACAGGTTGATTCTTCCCCACTTCGGCACGGTGAATATCCCCCACAACCATTTAAACCATCACTTGGGCCTCTCAAAATCGCCTCTGAGAGATCACCAAGTTTCTCAACACCACCAAGCCATCTAGGCGATGCCGATCATCAAGACTAACAAGCACAAACTCTCATCGCTTCCAATTGATTTTTGGGCTTCCTCTGGGCTACCCAGTGTTAAGTTTGACAAGTGTGCACCACATCTACTACTCACAAGACTCATCTAGGTCAAGTTACTAGTTCATACCCCCTTATAGTATGGCCAGAGAAAAAACAAAGTCCTTAACTACTCTAAGTGTCTTTTAATGCCAAACTATACTTAGAACTAGTCCGCCCTTAACCTTGTCGACTATCCTTTAAAAAGTGAAATGAAATCCATCAATAGGGGCATGAAAACCATTGATTGCCCATTAATTAATCGTTGTTGTGCATATAAGAAAGAAGTTAGGTTTCAACCGCTTGGTTTGCATGAACATGAGCCAATAAGAGCAAACAGGTTAGGCATGTTCATGCGAACCAAGTCCACAACATGTACACAAGATATATGAAATAAGCGCGTGTACAACAAAAGAAGCTTGTTTGATATATATAAGATATAGCAGAAGCATAACAAACGAGCAAACAAGGGTGACATGACATAATATTAAGTAGAGAGCACACAAGGTCACATAGTAGACAAACATGCACACACATAGTCGCCATGTTCGCTTGGCTTATAAGCCGTACTTTTTTAGTCAACGAACAATATTCTTCTCTCACAATAAATCAGCCAACAGTACTTTCAGCTATGGCGTATCAGCCAAGCGAACAGGGCAAAGTATCTCACAAATGCATGAAAGTAAACATGAATGCACAAAAGTAGCACACAAAAGAACGAAATCCCCCTCATAGGTGCTCCCCTTATCTCACATTCAATTCTCAGCACTCTCCTCCTTTGGCGTCAAGCACCAATACCTAAGGGTCTACAGGTGGGGACTTCTTTGGCCTGACCCCTTGTTGATTATCCGTTGTGTGTGTGTGTGTGTTTCAAGTGGTCGAACTGTCCATTGAAAGCTATCACTTCTGAGTTGAATTCTTCATATCTCTTTTGTGTTCAGGCTTCACTTGTATTATACGTGAGCTTCTTGTTTGTGTTTTAGGGTCTTCAATACTCCTCATTGATCTTCCTTTGTGGTGTTGATTGCTTAATCTCCACCTTAGCCTAGCTCAGGTCATCTTTGCATCCTATGGACTAATGTACCTTGTATACTAGCAAATATTGTTAATCCAAATAGTTATGTTGTCAATAAGTCATCGAAATCATTAAACCCTTACTAAGGTCTATATTTCTTACAAGAATCATTTTATAAAGATCATATCTTTACAATTGATGGTATAATAACAGTTTTGAAAACCAGGGCTGAAAAGCATTTTTTACTAACCCTAAAAATCATTTCCATAGCGGTGGTAGACTTTGCTTGAGTGAGGTTCATTGGATTCTACTGCTGAACATATACACTATTGTATAAAAGCTCCATGTATTTTTAGCGTTGTAGATCGATGGAGAGACTAGATCACAGCATATATCTATGGAGTGGTAGGGAAATTTACTTATTAATTAGGCCCTGTTTGGATCCATGGGGCTAAAGTTTAGCCCACCTCTTTTAGTCACCTTTTAGCCCTCATGGATCTAAACAGTAGGGCTAAAAGTGGGGGCTAAACATTAGCCCACCCCTTTTCCATTAGCCCCTCCAAGGTGGTTTAAAGAGGGCTAAAAGTGGTTTTGTGGGGCAAAAAACGTATATTAACCCCACTCATTCCTATATATGGCTGTGAACAAATATTAGTTAGAAGCAAATAGATCATAGTAGAGTATATGGCTAATCTTTGGCCCCTTGAGCCAAACAGCTCTATGGGCGATCCAAACGGGGGCTCAATGCAAGATGGAAGAAGACATCGTTCGGCCTTGGAGTGGTTGGAAATTCATATGCAGACTGCCACCTTTTCCCTTTGAGAGTGACCGACTGTCCGAATGAGAGAGATAGACACATGAAAGATTTGTTAGGGCATTACTAGCAGTCGAAATATCTTCACCACTGCATGTACATACACCGATCATGTCGAGCACCTCTATACTGTCTTTGTTCCAAAATAGTCGAGCACCTCTATACTGTCTTTGTTCCAAAATAAATCTCCATATCACATTTTGAGAAATCAAACAATCAAAACTTTAACCAAATAGATGTTAAAAAATTAATATTTGTGATACTATATAAGCATAGTTAGATTGGTCACACCATATATTTTTATAATGAACATATTTAGAGATACAAATGTTAATACCATTTTCTATAAATCTAGTTAAAGTTGAGATTGATTGACTCTGCAAAATACGAGATAAAGATTTTTTGGATGGAGCGCGTGGTGTTTCTTTGTGAGGATGACAGCTATCAGGATTGTAATCAGCCTGTTCGTTGGTTGATTTCTGGGCTGATAAGCTCGATTGATGTTAGTTTATTACGAGAAAAAATACACTGTATCATGACTGATAAATCCTGACCGGAAAAAAAAAAGCGAAAAGGCTGAATGCCCAAACGCATCAAGTTGCAACTAGAAAAATACATGTTGCCATTTTCTTCGGAGTCCGGACTCGTGTCTTTTGCTCCAGATGCAGTGCATGCTTAATTCGCATAAACCACACCTACATCTATAGCTCTACCAGATTAGTCACATCACTTGACGTGTACTTGCACAGACAGTACCGTGTTACCACTGCCAGCCAATGAGCATACTAGTTTGGGCAGGCTCTCTGTTCTCTTGTCACAAGGTACTAGATAGCGGTGGTGATTTTTTTATTATTTTTAACACTTTTTAAACTAATTTTAAATTTAACACCGTT